GTAGGACATTTTCAAAATTTCTCAAAGATGTCTTAAAATATTTTCTTCATTTTTGGCATGTCTCACTTTCGCTAGTAAAGTAAAAATATTGGTTCAGATGGCGGTTCTGGAAATATCAGCTGTGAAATCAAAATGAGTTTCATGTTTTGTACAAGAGAGGCGGATTTGGAAATGCAATCTTTATTACAATTTATGCTGCAAACTGGAATGTCAGGGGTGCTTTTTCTTACAAGAATCACATGGGTAAGATTGGCTTATTATTACATAATTCCTTTTTATAATCTAAAAGTCTTGGAGCTATAAGATGCATTTCCCCAGAATATTATGCCATAACTCTGGCGGGAACTATTCGCGAAATAACACAACGAGCGGTATGAAGGCTGACTGAATTTGAAAGAATTCTGAAAGCTTAGCATAATGAACTTAATTTTGTGTTCAATTTATTTAAATGGACGTTCCATTTAATGTTCAACTAAATGGAAATACTTAAAAATTTTGTTAGGTACCTTAATATCAGTCAATGGCACGCCGTTTATTATCACTGTAGTACAGAATTGTTTATTTGAAGTGGAAAACTACATTGAAACCGTTTTGTAGTCATTTACTACTTACAATTTGTTATTACAAAACCAATTTGAAATATCTGATATTGCATCATTTACGGTTTCTTTATTGCAACATTTATTTGCATTTATTATCTTAATTGCAACATTTGCATTTATTTATTCGTATCATCCGCAAAGAGAACTGTTCTTATGTTTCGAATCGTCGGGGACGTATCGTTAATTATAGTAGGAAGAGAATACTGCTTAAAAACGATCTCTGCGGAATTCTACATGCAATTGGCAAAGACTCGGAATGGTGTGTACATAATGTTCCATTATTTCAGTTAGGTATTTCTACTCTTTGAAATCGTTGTTTAAGGTACGAACATAACCAATCTAGAGCAATAACAAGGATTCCATACAAAGGTAATTTTGAAAGTAAAATACTATGATCAGTGACGTCAAAAGCGTTTGAAAGCTCTAAAAATATTCCTATAAATAAGATCTATAAATAAGTACCTTGTTTTGATCCATGGATAAGGCGACATCTTTAAGAAAAGAAAATATGGCTGTTTCCGTAGATTTTGATTTTCGAAATCCTTGTTGGCAACTGAAAACGCGACGTGATTACTAAGAAAGGTTTCCATTCATACGTAAAATAGTCTCTAATATTTTTGAAAAATTGACAAAAGAGAAATTGGCGCATAGTTGTTTTTGAAGTACCTGGAAAAACCCCGGTGCAGGAGGATGTATTAAAAATGTGAGTTAACGGGCGCACAAGTCTTTAACAAACAATCCAAAAATTCATCTAACCCCGCTGAATATTTATTTTTTAGTTTACCTATTATTTTGAGAATTACATAGGAAGAAGTTTCGGAAACGAACATGGAGTAAAATTTTGGAGGGAAAATTCTGATAATGAATTTTGTGGCCTCGTCTTGGTTTGTGTTCAACACTCTGGGCCTGCTCGGCGCTCTTCCCAGTTTGGGTTCATGCGCTAGCGTGGGGTAAATAGTGAGAAAGGGGGAGGTGGGAGGTGGGGAGGAA